ATTTTAAAAAGTATTTGTGTCTAAAATATGCTTTTCAATTATGCCTAAATAATTTTCGCATTCAAGATTTTTTACACTGATTTGCATTTACATACACTTCATTACCTGAAAATTTGAAAGCTATTTAGATTGATTTACTTATACTTGTGAAACATTTCTGAAAAATTGTTGTTTTCTACCTTATATGGGGGGGGGGGGGGGGAGTTGTTTAATTGATCTTGATGGAGCTGATTTGCAACTGAACCGACAGAGGTCAAAACGGGGTCAATCTTTAGAAACGAAATTAAAGAATGCCGAAGCTGAAAATAGGTTCTACAGACTCAAAAATTGGTCACATTTGGGAACTTTGAGTTCTTTTTATCAATTGTTGGCAGTTTTGCCTAAATACTGTTTTGTTTTTCAGCGAAATTGAGACAAAAGTTTGACAATTTGCTAATGTTCGGAAAAATTGATGACGCCGCGCCTGAGGGAATTTTGTTTGTTTAACAACTGGCATTAGCTAAGATGGCTATTTCAGTATTTTCAATTTCCGTCCATTTGAACTTAATTACTTGCCAGTGATTTGAGATGAGTGAAAACAGTAATCCCCGTCGATTTATTTTTGTCCCGATTTTTGAAAAAAGTGACGGAATATTTGTGCTCGGAGTGGTTTTTTTCCAGACCAATTTTGACAAACGTTTGGCACTGTTGAACAAAATTTTGGTATTCGGCACTGTTGAACTGCCCCATAAAAATGAATGCCCCTACTAAAAAGACTTTCAAAGAAAATGAGGGAACATTTGTGCTCGGGTGGTTTTTTTCCGCCAGCCAAATTTCGAACTTTTAACCAGGACTTTTTGATAGATTTGTTGACCAAAAGTATATCAACGCGTAAGCGGAAATTTAGTCCCTCCTAGAAATCGTTGCGAACTGGTTGAAGCAGTCTCTCTGTCATAATTGCTACGTTACTAGGTGCGAAATTTATCACTTTTTACTGAATGTGGGATGTGGGGTATTATTTAAAAAAGAATCACAAAAAATATTGTTTTTTCATTTTTGATTGAAAAATTTATCGCGTTTTCAACGCAAACACTGCTTCATAGATCTTGAAAAGCGTTCGAAACAGTCAGGGATTTACCCTGATACGAGCAGTTTGTTTCATTTAATTTTCATTTTTTTTGTTAATTCGTTACTTTTTTGTTGGCTAAACTCATTATCATATATTCAACAAAATCTCATATTTCAAAAATGCGTTTTATTTTATTACATGTTGTTACTGCTCCATAGACCTTAGAAGACAGCGGGATAATTCAAAGCTTCGGCCTGATACGAGCAGTCTTGTTTGAATTGAATGATCAAAAAAAACAAATTGAGAGATTTTTGAAGTTTATTCTAAGCTTTTTTAACTTATTTGAACCATGATCATAAAAGTAAAACCAAGCAAAAAACTAATAGTATCATTTTTTTTGTTTTGAAATGGGACAATGTTCAAGTTTCTTACAAACAATTGCCGATTTTTTTTCAAAAGTTGAGCAGTTTTTTGGTTTCTTCTAGCCTTCTAAAAACACGTGCTCCAAAAATCATCATTTAAAAGTATTTTTTGGGGACTTTTGTTTTTAAGCACAGAATAAATTCAAAAAACGGTTCAAGAATTTTTGCCACAAATTGATTTTCTGAAATATCACTAGTTAGTTTCAACAGAAAACGTCATTAGTTTATTTGAGACATTTACTCTGGTCAAGATACTCTTGTGATATTATGGTAAATTTTCAATGAAGATACTCCTGGCAAATTTCGCAGTTCACAACGTTTCAAGAAATCCAGCAAACAGTACTTTGCAGCATTTTTAGGGGGAGGGGGTCAGATGGTGGACGCCTTTCCACCTCAGACTTTCGACCTGCTGACAACCCAAAAATCCCACATTTGGCCGCCCAAAAAAAGCATTTTTTGTCAAAGTTTTCCAAAAAGTGCCTGCAAACACCTTTTTGGCTTGTTTTTTTTTTAAATTTCGACTGCGGCTCAGAAAATTTGGTCATAATAGTTTTTATAGTGATTTGGGAGAGCTTGGAAAATCCATTTGCTTGACCTAAAAAAGTTATACAAATAGGTCTATTAAAAAAAGGCCGCCAGAGAGCGGCGGAGCAAACATTTGGTATTTTCTTCTTGATCGAGTATTTACCGAATTTTTCCAACCAAAATAATAGGAAACCTTTCCTAGAATCCATTTCTTCAGATGTATTCAGTGAACTTGAACATTTATCGAAATAGAAATGCGAAAACGGTTACCGAATCTACAGTAATTGTGCTGGGAAAAAAAAACGTTTTCATTTTTAAGGCACCCTTCTTTGGTTTAAGCAGGTCTATTCTATGCAGCTTAGTGAAAAACAAATGGCAGGCATTTGAATTTTTTGCTGTTTTTATCAGTTTTATTCCCGGTACTTAAATGAAATTTATCTCTAATGCGCCACTTTTTTTGGCTTTCTGCTTTTCCTTCTTGTCATCTGCAGCCGGTTGTCTTTACAATTAAAAATAACCACTAAGAAAGCAGCTTTAGTTTTATCTTGAAGATTAACTAAGAATGCTTTGTGATTTATCTTGTCAAATTATCCCCTTTTGCTCCGAAAAATCAATGAAATCAGATTGAAAGAGGTCATGTAGCGTATAATGGTAGAATTCGACTAAGTGGCCCTTCAGACAATTTTCCATTTAATGCTGCCGACTTGGCCGTTCTTGTCTCGATGGCTCTTTCATATCCTCCGTTTACCGATCAAAGCTCCTTTTTCGGTCGGAAAAGGTTATATTTGCACTTGCACTTTTTAAAATTCACTTGTTTTTTTTAATTCCCTCATCCCAGCTAGCACGTTTAGTTTGTAAAGCTTGCTTTTTTTGCAGTGCTATGATATTTAGTCATACATGAACCTAGTAAGAGAACTTTATAAAGTTTTTCGAGTGTGAGTCCTATAAGAAAAAGATGATATGAGTATACCAAAATGGATATTTTACAAAAATTCTTGGATCGAATTCTTAAATGTTTGACGGTGATAAAACTTTAGATTCGGGGGAAATTCACATAACTGCAATGGGTGTAGCATGCAAAATTGTTTCCCTATTTACTGAGAGAAACAAACTTCAAATTATCTTAAGGTCCTTTCGGTTTACCTTCCACTGTAAAGAGAGATCATTTGAAAATTAGAGGCGGTGTTAGTGGCATTTAGTTTTTTCCAACTGAGAATCAGTTGATAAAAACGAAAGCCCTCTTCGTGGCACTGGTCACGTGCAAGCTCAATATGTGGAAACTTGTTTTCGTCATCACAAAAGTTTGACTCTTTCATATGCCCCATTTCTACCTGACAAGAAAAACATCATCAACTCGTTTTATCATTATTTTCAAAATAATACAATCAGTATTGCTTGCCAATTCAACCCTAAGGAAATTTTGTATCTTCAGCAAACTTTTCGGCTCATAGTCAGAATAGTAATTTCAACTAAAGCTTTTCAGCCGAGTTCATGATAATGATGATGATGATAGTGCGATGAGGAACACGTTTGGTTTTAAGACATCAAGACAAATTTAGCCCAAATTGATTCAAAAAAACCTCAAAAAAGCACTGCTGGAAACTCAATCAGTCGATACATCTTTAATCGAAATTGTTTTAAATACGGGTGGCTGTGATTTGATTACCGCGGGAACCACTGACAGAAAAAATTTAGGCCACCAGGTTAAAAAAAAGTTTCTGAGCACTTTTTGGAAAATTTTTCTTCTTCAAAATTAGTATATATTGGCGCACAAGGCGCTTCTAGCAAATTTTTAGACTTGGTCGGCCTAAAATGGATGTCATAAAATAATATCAAAGGGGGACCCTTTGGTTGGCGAGCGGTCGATTCCCTGAGGGGGAGGCGTCAGCCCCTCGCCCCCTCCCTTAAACCATCCCACGTGTATTGTAGATCAAATTACAGTCTGAAAACAAAAAAAGTGGGAATGATAAAAAAAGTGAGCGTTACTTTTATTTTAAAAAAATAGAATTAAATATAAACAATTAGCAGCCCAAAAAAAGCTTCAACCTGGTTAGACTTTTTAAAAATCTGGTTAGGTCTCGTTATGCTGTAAATGCGATCTCTTACTTGATAATTTGAACAGGGCATTAATCTTGTTGTTCCGACAAATTGTTGAAAATGGGGAGGAACTTTGCATTCGGGTGTATTTTCGTTTTTTCTTTTAGTTTTCCACGCTAAGTCAGGTACCACAATTGATGATCGGACTGGGTTGAGTGATATATCATATTAAAGCCCTTACAGTCGTGGTTTGAACCACAAAAAGTTCCCCGTGAAATTTTTGATTTTTTTGTCTTATTTCGAGCGAATAAAGCGAGCGAGCAGTTTTATTTTAACTGCTTAAAAGTTTACAATAGCCTAATTTAAAACGTACAAAACTAGTTTTACTTGTGTAACTTTAGTTTTCTTTGAGTATTTCAGTGGCTTTTTGGAATCAAATCTTTCAAAAATTCAAAAAACTGCGAAACTTAAAAAAAAATTTTTTCGATTTTTTTTATTTTTCAAGTAACTTTTCTAAAAAAAATAGTTTTTCAATTTGCTTATTTTATTATGGCTGTCGAATATACCTAATCGCCAGTTTTTTTGTTCAGCTCCTTTTATCATACCACAATATGACATAATGACAATAATTTGAAAAACTCTTTTTTAAGACTATGTTCTGAACATTCTGTACCACTTGCACAGTAACCGGCTAGCCTAGTTTTCTATAATTACACTTACGGAGGACTTGAGCATTGTTACGCCTTAGAGAACTCAAAGTTTTATACTTTGCTTGACGAGGAAGCTATCGGTCTTTTTTATAATTATTTGGATGAAATTGCAGCATCAAAGATGCTAGCTTATCTTCATTTTCAAAATTCCGTAGAAGGCTGGTCCTCAAGGTTTCGCCTACAACGCTCAAAAACTCAAAGTTTACTGGACGGTTCCGTCGTTTATTATTTTGTTGTTGTATAAAAGTGGTATTTTAGGTGACGGAGGGTGACACTTACAATCTGCAGATGACGCTGAATGTGGTGACGAGGGTGAATGAGACGAACGCGGACAGGCTGCAGAGACATATCGTCAAGAGCATCCACTCCCAGTTCAACGCACACAAAGTGAACCTGCTCTCCCTCTCCGAAATAACTCACTGTGCCTACTGCGAACGACTCCTTAACACAACCACCACCAACCCATCCACATCCAACACCACAACTCCCAATAGTACACCTGTCCTCAACACCGCAAGTCAGGGTTCGAACCCCGCCCTCTCGGACACGTCTAAAAACAGCTCGGAGAACCAGCTGAACAACAATCACGCCTCAGTTGTGAATAACAAACTTCAAACGTCTAATACTCCGACCACGCCCGCGAAAGGTTCATTGACTAGCACAGCGACCCAATAATACAATACGATCGAGCGGTATACTTTGACCGAAGGTTCCGACCGATAATCCCAACCTCATCTAGAAATAATCTAATACTCAGTTTTCAATCTAACCCTTGCCTCCATAATCGCCAGAACTGGCAGTCAGAATACCGAAGTCCAAAATTAACTGGAATTACTTTTTCTGATGTTGCATAGAATAATTATCGAGTCACCAGCAAATTTAAGCAACTTTGCTTTTGCATTTTGTTTGTCACTCTACGTGTTTAACAATCACATGACCTATATTTTAGAAAAAACTATTTACAGGCTGATTAATCTAATCTTTGCTTACTTCGTTTTCTTACTAATTTTGCAAAACTGGTGCAATTAATCACTTTAATTATTGAAATCCGTATGATTAATTAGATTATTGCAAATCGATTTTTTTGTCAAGTTCAGCATAAGTTAGTTTTGCATTTTTGGTTATTTTTATCACGGCACAAACATAATTTTTAATTTTCAGTTTTAATGAACTTTATTTTTAAATTCAGCACAGAAGCAGAAAGTAACAATTTCGGTGTCACGAGTTTGGCAAACGCCGCTCCTTGGAGGTTCTCGTACTTTCTCACTATCTGATTGGTGGAAATATTGTAGGACACAATCTGGTGGTTGTCTGAATCGCATATGTATATGCTCATTTCGGTTTCCTGATCTGTCGGACATTTGAGTGTAGAAGCATTTGAGGAGTTGAATGAGAGTCCAATTGGCCATTTGAGCCGGTGTGTTTGTGAGTCTAGCTTGATGAACAGGTATAGCTGGGGTGAGAAAATGAGGACAACAGCATCATTGGCGTTGCTAATGGCAACCATACCAGAGCTGCAGAAACGATTAAAGTTAAGAATTACCGATTTGATGAAAAAATCTAATTTTTGAAAACTAATTTCAATCATCATTAAAATCTAGGCTAAAATTAGAAAATAGCTAAAGGAACGCAGTAGATTTTGTACAATAGAACATTTTGATCATCCTAGAATTGAAAAGGAGCTTGAAAAACCCATGATTTTCATGGAGGCTTAATTTACACCTGACTGTTGACCGCTCGAAGGAGGCTATATTAAAAACAGGGACAGATTTATAGGGGAGAGCAGGGGCCTTAGGCATTCCCTCAATAATTCTACCCCTGCAGATCCAAAGCGTCCCCCTTTGGTACTACTTTAAGACATCCATTTTCGGCTGATTGACTCTTAAATTGGTCTAAGAGCGCCTATGACGCCATCATCTACTAATTTTGTGAAGGGGGGAGCGCGCACCGAAAAACGCAATTTTTCGCCACATCTTTTAAAAATTGCCTAAAAACGATTTTTTGTTCCGTTTTTTTTCCACAAATTTGCCAGCGGCGCAGAAAATTTAATCAAAGTAAGGTCTTTATAGTGATTTAGGAGAGCTCAGAAAATCAATTTGGTTGGCCTAAAATGGTGGTTCTTAGCACATGTTGACTGCCTGTAAGAAACTTTACATGGGTGCCAAGAGCCTGCCGACCTTTGTCTCTTTGTATTATATTGACATATCCATTTTCAGCTCATTGACCATAAGCTTTTTCTAGAGGCGCATTAGGTGCCAAAATACACAAACTTTGAGGGGTAAGCGCAATTTTTTAATCAACATTTTTCAAAAAGTGCTCAAAACGCAATTTTGGCCTTTTGCTTTTTTTCAACTTTTTAACTGCAGCGCAGAAAATTTCTTCAAAATAGGGTCTTTATTGTGGTTTTTGAGAACACATATTGGTTGACAAAAAAAGGATTAAAAATTTTGATTTTTTTTGAAAATCCGCCTCCTCCCTTGTGCTGATGAAAAAATAGGGCAAAATTGTGCTGATGAAAAGAAAGGGATAAACGTAACAATGTATTTTCGAATAACTATAGCATCTAAGTCGGGGAATTTTCAAAATTCTGGCCTTTGAACGGCTCGAAAGGCAATGAATTTACATTCGGACAATGTTTTTACGAACTCTTTTTCACAGCACCAAAATTTGAGCTCCTGAAGGCGTTCACACTTTGGTAAAACACGGTTTTGGCAGACGAAAGTCTGTCAATGATGGTCGGCCAAGGCCGTTTGATGAACTAATTTAAATAGCTAAAAAAACAGAAGATTTTTTGGGCGGCTCGAACCTGGTTCCGACGCATATTTGTGTTTTAGAAAGGAAATGATCGAGCCAGTACTCGAACCTGCACCGAAACCACCGAAATGCTACTGTCCTTTTATTATATGCAACTATGATTCAAACTTGTTCTTTATTTACTACTAGCTCAGCAACATCCTCACCTCCCGAGGAGGTGAGAACCAGAGCAAGTTTAACGAAGGATCTTACCAATTGGCTCGATAGAGTCTTAACGGTTCTCGAGCGAGCGACGTTATCTTTGCCGTAGTGCAAAGCAGTTACTTGACCTAAAGGGTAGTGCCCACGAGGGCTGCTGGGATTGACAATCCAGACGAGATCACCAGTTCGTAAATCGCGGTTCGAATCGGCATACCACTTTGAGCGTTTGTTCAAGGAGGGGACATACTCCTTCAGCAAACGCTGCCAAATAGCTTTTGCGTAAGCTTGTGCTCTCACATAGCGCTTTCGCTGGTCGAAACTTTCACATAGCGCTTTCGTCGGTCGAAACTCTCACATAGCGCTTTCGTTGGGCGACGGAAAATTAACAGAGTGTTGACCCAAGAGAAAATGGTTAGGCGATAACGCTTCCAGTTCAGTTGATTTAGGACAAGCAGGCTTTATTGGATGGGCATTAAATGTTTGCTCCAAATAAAAACTGTTCGACAATACCTCAACCGTTAACTTGCGAATTCCAATGATAGCGTAGAGGACGCGTTTGCGACTGCGCACTAGCCTTTCTCAAGACTCACCATGATGCGGCACGGCAGGAGGATTGTTTTTCCGTTTGTTTTCCTTATGAATTAACAATACGGGAGCCTGCCTGTTCCAGCTTTGTACGCAAAGCAGAAGCTCTGTCTCAGCTTCATCTAAATTGGTACCGTTGTCTGACCACACCACACTTGGCGTACTTTGGCGGGAGATAAATCTTTCAATACTTATGGCACAGGAGCCGGTGTCGACAGACAGAACAGTTTCGGTGTGTACAGCACGGGTAGTCATGCAGGTTAACAGAAAAGCCCAATTTTTCTCAATACTGCGGCAAACAGTCACGTAAAATGGACCAAAATAATCCACAGCACAGCTGTGAGAGACCGATGGCGGTAACCAAGCCGTTCGACAGGGATGTCAGCCAGCAAAGAAGGTAACGCGCATGCCTTGGGTTTTCTGCAAATAAAACAACATCTTGCAACTCGCAGACCTAACACCACAAACCCCATATGTACAATGGAACGCAAAAAATCCAAGTGTTGATGGTTGTGGTCCAAGTGCAGATGCCTCAGAAACTTTTTCACCAACAAGTGACGAGAATCTAAGATGATGGTATGCATAGTTTCAAAACTGATTTTGACTAAGCGTTGAATACGGCACGTGGAACGAATGATGCCACCGGGGCCGATAAACGGTGAAAAACCTGCAATGCGACAACACCTTTTTAGGGTTTTGCCAGATTGAAGTTGTTTAAACGCAACCGAGAACAAATCGGATTGAGCCAATAGTAACAATTTATCTTTCGCAATTGCTAATTCGGCCGGATCGGTTATTTGAGCGGTAGGCCCGCAGAAGTCTTTGTGTTTCGGCAATAACCTCAACATAAAGCAAACGTACCAATGCAGTATCGTAAAACTACTATACTTCTCCCAAACAAATACGGGCTCTGACTGCTTTGAAGTACTCGTAAGAGCATGTGTCGATTTTTCTATGGTGCCGTCCACAGATTTCATTGAGAGGATATCACTAACAACATACCAATTTGGTTTGAAAGGCCACTCCTTGGCTAAAAGGAAGCTTGGACCCTTGCCCCAACAGCTTTCTTTAAGGCAATCTGCCGATAATCCGCGTTTCCCAGTGTCTGCGGGGTTATCTCTACTAATTACATGGTACCATCGACCCACAGTGGTGAGTTCTTTTATTTCACGAACACGGTGTGCGACAAAAGTCGGTTTATCGATGGAGTGAAGCCATTGTAACACCGTGGTGCTGTCGGTACACAAAGGTGCAAATTCCATCGATTGAAAGTGCCCATAGTTTATCTTCCCTCAACCTAGATGCCAGCAAGGCTGCCTGCAATTCCAGCCTCGGAATGGACAAAATCTTCCTTGGTGCTACTCTTGCTTTACCAGAAGCAAACGCAAATTCAGTTTTTGAGTCTCAAAATTCCGGGCACGAAGAAAACCAACCGCGCAAAACACATCTTGCGAGCTAATCCTAAACATATGGAGCTCACGTTGATCAAACGGATTAATAAAGTAGCACCGGGGAAAGCCTATTTCTGTTAGGACAAACAGGTTGGAATGCCACTCAGTGAAATACTTCCGAAGCGCTTCTGGTAAATGATCATCCCATTGTCGCCAAATGTCTTTACGAAGCAGGCGGGACCTTACCGAATAGGGTGCCACCAAACCAATAGGGTCGAAGATCAATGAAACAAATCTGAGAACAGTTCGTTGCGTAATGGATATTTGAAGCTCACGGTTAATCCGACGACTAACAACAAAAGAGTCACTTCCATGGTCACTTCCACGCTATCACATGAGAATTCAAAAGGTCTTTACCAGCCGCAATGTCCTTTACTTTTACAGTTACTTCAAATGAAGGGCATAAGTTTTCTTCAATTGCGGGAACATTACTTACAAACTTAGTGAGACGGAATCCTCACAGTTTAGGGAGGTTCACCAGATCCTTGCTTATTCTCATTGCGTCATCGCGGTTTTTGAATGAATCCAAGGAATCATCCAGATAGAACCTTCAAAGTACTAATCTAGATGCTTCAGGAAAACTTTTGAACGTTATCCCTAGCTGTTTGCTGAATTGCGACGTTTGCGCATGCCGGAGAGTTCAGAGCAACAAAAAAATACCAGATATACTGGAGAATTTCAACATCCGATGTGGCATACACGCGCCATGAAAAACGCAAAGAAGGTTGATCTCAAGGGGGTACGCCAACTTGGAGAAACATACCCTCGATGTCCGCGAAGACAGCAAACTGATGTTGGCGGAAGCGCATCAACTTGTGTAACAAATTTTGCAGTAAATCAGGCCCAATGTAAATCAGATCCAAAGATTGGCCGTCAAATTTTGACGCGCCATTAGAATTCACGGGCGGAGCGGAGCTGCGGATCGTGCGGTTTAACTGGAATGAAATAACCTTTATCGAGGTCCTTTTTTGTTGTCTCAGTGTATTTATTCTTTAAACCACTATCTTTGACAAGTCGTTTTTCAAGCGCCATGAACTGTGCCAGCATTGAGTAGTGATTGTTGGGTAAAGAACTGCTATCATCGGTCCATAGCATTCCTACCCAGTACCGCTCACCATCATGGTATGTTGTTGATTCAAGAAGGTTATGCGCTCGCTGATTGGCTGCAGAACAAACGTCAGCTTGTTTGTACTTTCTATAGCTTTCTAACTCATACCACGCTCTAACTTGACGAACAAGTTCCACGTCTTTGGCATTGCACTTGAAATATGTTGACAACAAACTAAACGATCAAGGGTGTGGGCCACTCAAAACCCATCATTCCGGCAGACGAACAGCCATTGGAGTTTTCCCGATCTACATCATGGTTATAATCAAGCGGGCGTATGTGGTAATAAAAATTCTGACCTATAACCATTTCGATGTCCGGATAACATTAATTTCATCGTTTACGCAAGCGGTTACATTGAAGGTTTAATCGGTGTTAATTATGTGATTGGATAGTGTGACTTCGACTACTTCGA